ATTTTTTTACATTTTCGATTTGGGCATTACAAGTAATTAAGATGATCGTTTAGATTGTGTTTTTAAACACAGCAATAATTCCTAACTCCAAATAGACACAAAAAACAGAATATTAATTTGTTTAATTTTCCAATATTATTTTTAACAAATTAAATTAATTATTTACAACTAAAATGCTCTTGGATAGTTAGGACAAACATATAAAATCTAAAGTAGTTGCTCGAAATGTAAACCCAATTGTTCAATACAAAATTCACATCTACGAATGATCGAACGTGGTATAGCATTATTCAAATAAGGACTTATTTCATCACATGCATTCCTGATTCTGTCTATTAGCATATCTCTTGTGGTTACGGGAGTCTGGTACACTTTTTCTTTTAGAAATCCCCACACAAAAAATCTAATGGATTTAGGTCAGGGTATCGTGGAGGCCAGGCGACTGGTTCTAACTATTCTCGAATAATGAGCTGGACAACCATCAAGCTGGAACCAGGCCAATCTTCTTAAATCTAACATAACATCATCCCACATATTTGCATGTTCAGCCTTTAAAAATTCCAAGAAGGTCGCAGCATTTAACCTTGCAGGCAAAAGGTAGGGTTCAAATAGTCGATTACGGTAGATACCAATCCAGACGTTCACACTAAATTCATGCTGAAAATTTCTTTCCCGAACTGCATGCGGATTTTCTTGCGACCAAATATGTTGATTATGAAAATTTACCACTCCACGTCTAAAGAAGCATGACTCATCGGTTCACAAAACAATACTTAAAAACTCCCTATTATTATCAGTTCTATCCAGAATCCACTGACAAAATGTGACTCTACGTTCTCCGTCCCCTGGCTGTAGTCCTTGCACAGGTTGCAAATGGTAAGAACGTCGATGGTCATTTCTAAGAACACGGTGAACATGGCTTGCTGAAATTCCCAAGGCACCAGAAACTCTCCTAACACTTGTGGTCGGATCTCTGTCAAACTCACGCAGAATCATACGGGTAAATCTGCGCTGACGAACATTTATGTTTTGATCCCTTTGGAGATTTCCAAAACCATTTTCAATTATTTGGGGATGCACTCTTACAAATACTGAGCGAGTTGGATGTCGTCTGTTTGGAAATCTTCGTGCGTATTCTCTGACTGCTTCTGCTGCGTTTCCATTTACAAAGCCATACACAAAATGAATATCCGCTCTTGATTGGAGAATAAAAATGGCATTCTTATAAAACTTACAAAAAAAAAACAGGTAAAAGAAACTAAATTTCGTGCATTCACAATTGCAAAAAAACGTTTCAGGTTTCAACCGACAACAAAACTAACTGTCAACTAATTGACGTTAAACCTTATTCTGCTTTCGATTTCAAAAATATTTGCAGGCGCAGCCTACTTCTAAAAATTATCGAGATAATGACTTGTTAACGTTATTTTATCATAAATAATTAAATATGCATCGTACCTTAAACATCGAAATATCTCAAAAACGGCTAACTATAACGAAAATTCACTAGAGAGCTTTTTTATGTTGAAAAGTGCGAAGAATCAGTTTTTTTATTCAAAAAGCAAAAAATTGCACTAGGAAAAAATTTTCGGTCATGTTAATACACTACAGGTACAGTAGAGAGCCCCCTCTAGCGGCTACAGTAAAACTATGCCCATGGTTCGTTTTGTCGTACCAAAAAACCTTTTTACACCAATTTTCACTGTTATACATCAAATATTGTTCGAAATATTTAAAAAAAAACTATTTTAGAAAGTAAATTTAAACACCCTTGTATTTCGGAAGCCACGCTTTTTTCGAACCATGTTTATATAGACTTTATGCATTAATTTTGAAAGTTCTATCGAATCTTAATGTTATGCAACAATAAACTGAAACACCCTGTATAATATGTATGACGTCGTTAAGCGAAAGAAATTCTTGGCAGATGACATTACAAATAACTATCTGACAATTCCAAGCGCACTTGGGAAATACACTTTATTTAAAATGATTGTCGTTTACAACGTATACTATGCTTTACATATATAGATAGATAGAAGTACCACCCTGTACCATTTTGCGTTGATTACAGGATAATGTAAAATCCACTTATTTGGTGAGCGAACGACAACGATTATCCACGTTTGGCAAGCGATAAGGGCGATTGAAATTGATTATCGAGGCCAACACCTATTTTTGAGAATAAGATGTATGAGAGTCTCTCGTACTCAACTGACCCGTGACATGGCATGCATGGCATTCTTGTACCCCAACTACTAGTAAGGATTCGTCACACCGACTGATCCTTGGATCGTCACACAGGCTGATCACTAAGTCGTCATACAGACAGACTAGGAGTCGTCACACAGGCTGACTCTTTGCTCGCTAGGTGTGCGGAGAGACATGCCAAGTTTAAGGCGACTCCGACGCAGTGAGTTTCAAGCCATTTACAAGAGCTCAGCTGCTTCGAAACTGACACTCCATTTTTCAATATTTTTGAATGAAATTCATACAGTATGTTGAGAAGATAATTGCCCAGCGTGCTATAGGAGCACTTTCTGAAATTTTGTTTTTGCACAAGTTTTATGATGGGTTGAAGTGCGCACTTTTTTTTCTACTTTTTTTAAAAAGAACCTAGTGAAAAAATGAAAAAGTGGCTCTATAGCACCCTGTGGAGTTTTGTTCTCGGCACACTGTGAAAATTTCATCCAAAAATATCGAAAAATAAAGCGTCAACTTCGAAGCGCGCAAACCTGTACAAATCGTATTTTGGACGAATTTTGTCTTGTGTTTCGTGCTGCCAACCCAAGCGTTGCGGCGCAATGTACGGACTAAGAAAGGACGTATTCAGATAATTTCGTGGCCCTACTTCATGTAATATCGCGTAGATGAGTCGTTCTGGAAATCGTTCTCATAATCGCGATCGCTGATACTCCTCGATTTTAAAGCCGTTTTACTTCCCACGCGATTGGTGAGGAAGTATTGTAATCGCGAAAAATTTCTAAAATGAAATGTTATGTTTTTTTAAGTCATATGACATCCACATCATGAAAAACTGTATCACTCATCATCAACTTGGAAATTAGCGCTCGGATTATTATGACATTTCCAGACGGGGTTACTAGTATGCCAAAGCTTTGTAGTTTAAGTCCAGTAGCAACGGTGCTATAGGTAAAAAAGAAAAGAAAAAGTAACAATTGCTGAAACTCCGTTTTTGACATTTCAGGGGATCCTAATCATTGACATAAAAAAATTGTACTGCTTAAAAAAGGTTGGTTGAAATCAGTTAAACACACTCTATTATTAAGAAGCTTCTGATCCCAGTAATTACAGGAAATTTACGAATATCCGACGAATAATAAATAAATAAATAAATAAAAACGCCTTTATTTTAAACTCGGCGAAGGTCAGCTATGCTGTTAACTTAACCGAGCATGTAAAAAGTAACAACAAGCCAAAAGTAATATGACAAGAAACAAGTTTTACATTACATTAATTTTAGAATATTACATAACAACAATGAACAATAATAACTAGAGATGTACGTATACAAAGAAAATAAGCAATAATAAACAACTTATACTTCACAGAAGCAGTTGTTTCAGTTTTTGTTTGAACATATCAGGAGACATATCTTCAAATTGACCTATATTGTATTGGTTTAGAAGTTTGACTGATGTATAGGAAAATGAGCTTTGAATCATGGTTTTAGTTATTTTAGGTATTTCATAAAGTACATTAAAGCGTGTTGCACGAGAGTGAATCAGATTTCTACGAGTTAATTTTTCAATCAGATATGGAGGGCTTTTAGTTTTAATCAATTTATGAAGAAAGCAAGCAAAATGCAGCTTTTTTCGATTGGAAACATTCAACCATTTCAGTTCGGAAAGTTTATGACTGACATGATCGTGACGTCTAAGCTGGTAAATAAGTCGTATGCAAGAATTCTGCACTTTTTGGGATTTATCCTTAGTAAATACATCTAAGCAAGGACCATACACAAAGTTGCAATAGTTAAGGTGACACAAGACCAGTGCTTCGCAGAGAACCTTTTTTAACTTAAAACTAAAAATATCTTTACTTTTATAAATATTGCGAAGGTTAAAGTAGGCTTTTTGTAGAAGCCTAGACACATCATGACTTCGGAATCTAAGCTTGTTATCAAAGATAACGCCCAAATTTTTATATTCCTCAACAACCGGTATTGCCACACCATCCATTGCTATCACCAAGTTTACAGACGCCCAATCTTTAGCTGACCCAAAGTAGATTATGGCTGATTTATTAGGATTCAATTTCAAGCCATGATTAAAAGAGTATTTAAAAACTGAATCCAAACACTCGTTTAGCCGCTTCAATTGCGTCCGACTTAACAAAAGAAAGCTGAATCTGTGTATCGTCAGCGTATCTATGATTGTTTATGTCACCAAAGCACTTCGGCATATCGGCAGTAAAAATGATAAAAAAGAAAGGACCCAAAAGTGATCCCTGAGGAACTCCTCTATCCACGTTCAAGGGTTTTGATTTAAGCCCATCAACTGAGACCGACTGCGATCTGTCTTCCAAATAACTACGAATAAGTTGAATAGTCTTAAGTTTAAATCCATAGTAGGAAAGTTTTGCACACAGCAATGCATGGTTCAGGGAATCGAAGGCCTTGCTAAAGTCCAACAACACCAATGCCGAAGTTTCACCCCTGTCCGCAGCCAAAAGAATGTCATCTAGAACCTTCAACAGAGCTGTGGTAGTACCAAACCCTTTACGGAATCCAGACTGCAACCTGGGTAATAAATTATTATCTGTGAAATAAGTAATGATTTGCCTATAAATAAGCTTTTCAAATACTTTAGACAGCACTGGTAGTATACTAATTGGTCGCAAATCAGAATAATCCTTAGGACTGCTAATTTTAGGCAGCGGCAGGACCACAGCCATTGGGCAGGAAAGATGCCCTTTTGTATGCAGGAATTAAATACGTTAACCAGCACGGGTAATATCGTTGGACAACACAACCTCACCATGTCAAGGCTAATTCCATCTGCACCAGAGGCGTTTGACCCAATCTCCGATATTGCCCAGAAAACGTCATCTTCACTAACGAGTTTCAATTCAAATACTGTGGTTGTACATTTGGAATTAAGATATTTAGAAATAGTATTCGTATCAACAGTGCTAAGTATTTGTCGCACCGAGTCGCTAAAATATTGACTAATTAAATTTGGGTTTTTATGATGGTTAGGAATTTCTATATTTTTTTTAGATCTGTTATAGATATTAAGTTGGTCTAGTGTCTTCCACATGTCTTTGGATTTTTTAGTACGACTGACAAAATCAATATAAGCTCTCTTTTCTTGTCGAACAGCTGACGTAAAAAAATTCCTCATTTCCTTGTAGGATGCCCAATCCCGTAAATTTTTAGTACGTTTGTATTTAGAGAAAAGATAGTTACGGTGATTCTTCAACGCACGCAACTCATCAGTAAACCACGGGGAAGGTGGCCTGGTAACTTTTTTCTCACATATTGGTGCATGAGAATCAAAAAGAGTCAATATCATATCTGAGAGAATTGCAGTCTTCTGGTTAACATTATCACAGTCTACAACCAGCCACCAAGGGAAGTTTATAAGATCTTGTTTGAAGCTATAAATGTCAAAGTGTTTAAAGTTACGATATTTAATAACTCTAGGCCTAATGGCAGAGATCTTAATATTTATTGAACAGTGTATGAGCTGATGATCGGAATGCTGATGCAAGTCCTGATGATGGACACTGCCACTTAAGAGATGATCATCGGACATGATGATGACATCAATCAAACTGGCTGTGTCTCGGGAGTACCTAGTTGGGTTAATTACAACTTGCTTGAAGTTGAAAGTATCAAGCAAATTATTAAACTGATTGGTTATGTTAGTATGTCTTAATAGATTAATATTAATATCCCCCATTATAATCAATTCACCTGTCACTGGAATTAAAATAATGTGCTCACGATTTGAAAGAATCGGTACCTGCTCTATAGGTTTGACACCAAAAGCCAACAGATCTGCAACCACCTACAGTAGGGAAGAATAAATTCGGATATCACTCCAGTCAAGTATAGGGGAATTTAGCGTGGAACTTTAAAATTATCGATATGTCAAGGAAATATGTTTTGCTATCAGAGCTATTTACAAAATTTTGTCTTTGCGCTAAAATTATGGTGGGTTGATATGCTTACTATTTGTGCTCGACTTCTTGATATTTTAAAAAAGATCCTATTGGATGAAATCTGAAAAGTGGATCGCTGGCACAACGTGGACTTTGTTTTTAGCACGTTTCAAGAACTCAAATTCAAATTCGTTTATTTATGTCAATAAACACAATTATGTTTACAAGGGTCATGTGGTAGATGGTAACAATTGAACGAGGGTCATAAAAATATCTTATGCGGTCAAAATAAGAGGAAACAGAAAGGTAGTTTTTGCAAAGCAATAAACAGGTAGGCTTATACGTGGATTAAGTACATGTCTTGTCTACTGTAATAGGTAGATGGAGGTGATGCTGCCAGAAATGGATGTGTGCGATCAGTAAACACACCCATAGATTGAACTGCCGTGTCCCATGATTTTTGTATTGCCTTTTTTTATTGTCTTACTAGAAAACTCTGTTGGGTATATGATGGGGTTTGGTAGAACTTTACAGCTTGCTGTCTGCCTTTATCTACAAACTTCACCAAATCGAGACGTTGTTAACCTCGTCCTCCGATGAAGACGCCACAAAGTACAGTTCTGTGATTTGCTGACTTGTTCGATCTGCAAAATCTTGTCGTCACTTTTTCTAAGTTTCCCTAAAAATTCTTGCTTATCAACCTCCAAATCAATGTCGTTTATGTCAGGTTTTTGACAGAATTCGCCATAAAACTATTGATTTTCGTTGGAATTGCTATCCGAATTGTTAGTTATTTTTATATCAGCTTTTTTTGGTCTGAGTTTTCTGCATTCTTAATTAAAATTGTCGCATATTATGACCTTTTATTGTCCATTATCAACCTTGATACAAAAAAGGAACTCAAGAACAATCACACCAACAAGAATACAGCACAACAATTCAACAACACAATATCGACGAACAGTAACAAGGGTAGAACAATACTAAATTATCACTTGCTGAGTACCAAAAAGAGGAAACGATTTACAGACTAGATCGCTAAACGAAATCCGACTCTGTTATTATCAAAATTTTCCTCTTTTAAAGTAGCGCCGACGAGCGTCTAAGACCAGCCCACCCTGGTTTCCTTTTCACGCCCCCGTTACCTCAGCAGATGTTGCTCGTGATTGTAGGAGCCCCGTTAACGATTGTTAGGAGAAGCAGTGCAGGAACCAGTATATCCCGCTGCCGTGTCAATATCACAAAGCTGAGACGTTACTCCCGAACCGAGCAAAGTCACTACTTTGAACTAACAAGCCCGACAGATAGTTAAGCGGCCATTTAGACCTAGGATGTCACTTCGGGCAAAGGGCACCGTGTCAACATCCCAAGCACTTCCACATCTCTCCTGCTAGAATAACCTGAACCCAACAATCGGGCTCCGAAAGTCCCATAACCACAACAACAAGTCTCACCTGCGGATATTCCATAAGAATAGATAGCAAAGTCGTAAGTAATAAATTAAAATATTAAGGTAAAAGGTCTAACACATTCATGGTCATGAATATAAAAGTATTATGACTAAACATCCATGCTGTACAGTAGAACCAAGGAAATACTCAGCGATTTCTCTCCTTCCAGGTAACCAAGACTCTACACCCAATAACACAGCGGCACTGCAATTAGCTCCACTTCCGCGCACTACTTGAATTGAGATGCGACCTCTATATCCGCCTGCATGTATATTGTTATACTACAACTATTTAAAACTGTAATGACTCATACGCGTGATCAACACGTGATCAGAGCTCGATCCCGGCTTCCTTCCAGTACAGCCGCATAGCGTACGACATATGTCGTTTCTGTGGCTTTGCGGTGGTCAACAGCACAGACAGAGATGGAAATAATGGCTGATTGTTCTCCGCTGGTAGAACCAATGAAATCAAAGACGCGCCTCGACCGGCAGACTCATAGGCGTCGGCAACGCATTGGAACGTGTTTCGTTGAGCGATCGCATATTGTGTGTTTTTATAAGAATTGTTGTGTGATTGTTATTGTTGTGGTTTCTGTGGTTACTGTTTTGGTTATACTTAACCATGGAGAGTACAAATGGCACGAGTGGAAGTACTGAAAGCCAGGGAACAAGTAGACGGCTTCGTAAAGCACTGAAGAGGGACGCGAAAGAAATCGTGCTCAACGTGTTCAATTATCTGAACAGAACTATGTCGCAGGGAGATGCACTCGCGCGTTGTGAAAGTATGACAGGCGTTCCAGAGTGGACCATTCGCAGGGTGGTGCACGAAAAGAAGAAAACTGGAGCTACTACTGATCCAAAGTTTAATTTGAAGGGACGAAAGGCCGTTAAATTGGATGACGATAGCAAAATGGCGTTAAGGCGAACCGTACATTCATTCTTCTTTAGGAATGAGATACCAACCCTCAAGGCTGTACATGCAGCGATCAAGGAAAATGAAATTATACCCCAAATGAGCGTCGAGGTAATGAGGAAATCCCTGCACGAAATTAATTTTCGTTACGAAACGTGTAATCGGAAGTCAGTATTGATAGAGATACCTGAAATAGTCGCCTGGCGTCGAAAATACCTACGCGAAATGATCGAATATAGGCGACAAAGCAGAAAAATCTATTATTTGGACGAGACATGGATAAATGCAGGTCACACAGTTAAAAAAACCTGGATAGACAAAAACGTAGTGAGTAACCGACAAGCAAGCATTGAAGGTTTGTCAACAGGTCTTCGTGGACCGTCAGGGAAAGGTCAACGATTGATCGTAACTCATATTGGTAGCGATAGTGGCTTTTTAGAAGAGTGAGACTTAATTTTCGTCTCTAAGAAAGGAGGTGATTACCATGACGAAATGAATGCCAGCTGCTTCGAGAGCTGGTTTCAAGGGGTTCTTTAGTGAGTTGAGCCCAACTATGTGATCGTCATGGATAATGCTTCCTACCATAGTCGTCGAGCCGAACGTGTACGGCTATGGGATCTCGAAAAAGTGACATGCAGCAATGGTTGCGCGAAACAGGAATCCCGTTTGACGATTCATGTGTGAAAGCGGAATTGTATGAAAAAATTAAACAGCACAAACCTGCGAACATTAGTTACGTAACTGATGAGATGGCCCATCAATGTGGTGTCACTGTGCTGCGGTTACCGCCCTACCACTGTGAACTGAACCCAATAGAGCTCATCTGGGCTCAAGTGAAGGGCTATATCGCGCGCCATAACACAACCTTCAAATTACCAGACGTTAAGGTTTTACTTGAGACTTCCATACAGCTAGTAACGCCCGAAGCTTGGCAGAATGCTATCCGTCATGTTGTGAAGGAAGAAACAAGAATGTGGCAGCTTGACCACCACATCGACACCATCATAGATCCAGTTATAGTCAATTTCAACGAGGAAAGCGACAGCGACAGTTTATTACTGTCAGATGTAAGTGGAAGCGACGATGAATAAAGGTAATTCCCAAATTTTTGACTTACGATATGTTTCAAACCACTCTTTATTAAGCATGTGACAAATCTAGTTCACCCATGTTAAACATTCATACCCCGCCTATGAACAGCCGACTACTGGTAGTTAAGTGATGTTCACGTGAACATCGATGAGTCATTACAGTTTTAGATAGTTATAGTATAGCAGGGCGCTTTCAAAATAAGTGGACACAGGCTTTAACTTACTTAAGTTTGTTTGAAAAAGAACTTAAGACTTTCAACGAGACAACACTGATTCGCGGGCATCTTGTAACTACACATTGTCAATTGCAATACTGCTTGACATTTCATTAATACCAACACAATTTGCCATTGCCAACTTAACATATATAAAAGTTTATCCTACAAGCAAGTGCCCAGAGTTACTTGTGAAGCTTCTGGAAAGATTTTGTGTGCTACAGAGTTGAACTTGTATGCAAAATGTGTTTTGGATATTTCATATGCTGATATTAGTGCATTAAATGGACGTCTTTAAGACCTTGTGAGCTATCTGGGATGCGTCCTCCACTACGTAAATTCATTCTGCCTTTTGACTCAGCTGCGCACCGTTGCATTGTGGCACCTGACGATATCTTCAAACGCGGACCTTCGTTGTTAGCAAGACTAAATTTATATTCCTATACAGCTCCCCGGACATGCTGCCGGGGCTTGAACGGCAAAAGAAAAACGAAAAACAAATAGACCAGACCGCAAACAGCACCCCTGAGATAAAATAATAAAGGTCCGTTCTTAATTGCAACTGAAATTACCCACGCTCGAAGAGCTTTAATTTTTAACAGAACCACACCTTTGAGATTCGGCAGTCAGCAAGTCGAGCTGTGCAGGTTAATATTTCAGTTTTCCATTATTACTCCTCCACGAAGTTTGTCCGCCTTTATTAATATCGCATCAGGCCTTCGGATTGGATGAACAGCCATGTCATACGTGAAGACGCAGTAAGAAAGGGAAATTATCTGTTAAATCATGTAATATCAAGTATCCTACTGTGGCACTACCTG